CAATAAATATCTTGGTAAAATATATCCATTCAAATCCTAAGTTTCAATTTTTTGCGAAATTTTCGCTGAACTGCACTAAGTTTGTTGTTTTCAAGAATGGCGAAGCTCCTCCTCGATTCCAAGTTTCAATTCTTTTTAAAGATTTCGTTGTTTTAAGAATGATGAAGCTTGCCCTCGATGAAAATACATCAACGTGATTATGATTATTTGCCAAAATATGCATATCCGTTGAGATTTGCAGTTCTAATTTCCGTCGTTTTTAAGAATTCAATTCTCCATGTTAACTTGGTTAAACGTGTATAAAACAGGTTCGTCAGGCAGCGAAGGCAGCTTCCGTTCCCACGAAATATTTTCTTAGGAACTAATCGCGAGTTCCCTCGCGAAACCCCCATCGAAGAAGAGAATTCTAACGAGCGGTATTTTAATGTTTGACACGCTCCATTTGCATCGCGCGCGCCGGCTGATGGAATTATTCATTGGTTTTAACGCGTCTTCGGGCGATTGAAAATTTCGCCGGGAATTTTAATGGCGGATTGTTACTACGAAAAAGCCCGAGGTCGAGTATAATTATTGAGAATTTGTGAAACAGAAATTTCCCCCTTGAGCGGAACAGGTTAAATAAAGATACATAGAAAATAAAGAACGTAAAAATCTACGAATAAAAATTTGAATTCTAGAAATTGGCATAACGAGTCTAGTAGGAAGAGTCGCCAGAAATATTTTAAATTTTTCATTAAGAACTTAACCATGAATATCAATCTGTACCGGTCAAATGACCAATTGTGAGATAAAGATGTTTTTGCAAGAGAACAAACAATTTAATGTAGGAAACAACGAACTTTCTAATGTAACTTTTAAATCAGAATGTCCAATCTACCGGTCAAATTACCGATCATGAAATAAAAGATCTTTTTACAAGAGGAATACAGATATAACATAGGAGACAGGTAACGAGGATTAAAAAAATCATACATTTTCGCACGAATTTTTTTTAACGAAAAGTAATTGAACCAAAAAAGGAGTAACGAGTGCAGAATTTCACCTGGTAATTTGTTATCAGACGTTCGATGTTAAGACGTAGGGTGAAGGACGGTAAGGTTAGGACAAAATGTATTCCCCGGATCGGAGATCCCTGCCGGCGATGGTGCTGCACGCGTTTTCTTTCGGCTGCTGGTTTTATCCGGTCGTTCAACCGGCCGAGATTGAGAACGCGGCGAGGAACGACGGGGAAAAGCCATTTGCGTGATCGGCTCGGCCGAGATAACGAGGGGAGGGACGCTCGAATGCAAATGCGATCGAAATGGAAACTCGGCCGAAACAGTCGCTGCTTTATCGCGACTTTAATTCGACGTAATTCGTACACGATTCCCCTTGCCGGCGAATCATCGTTACGCTTACTCTCTCTCTCTCTCTCTCTCTCTCTCTCT